AACTCCCTCACCCCAGCCCAGGCAAAACCCAGTGATGTTATGACAGGAGTGGCATTCATGTCTGGGCCCCTCTCTGCAAAGCCCCTGTCTTGTCCATGTGTCAAAGAGATTTTAAAGTGACTCTCGTACCATCATCACCCCGTCGAGCAGTCCGGTCTCTGCTCTGGGTGCGGCCTGTAGCCGCTCCATCGACCATTTCTCAGTGATGGCAGCCACATGAGGGTTCTCCACATTGAGGATCCGGAAGCCAGTCAGGTTCACTCCAGAGTAGCGATATGGTTCTAGGTCTAATGCATAAAGATCCTTAAAAGAGAGAAATCAGTTTTAACATATTGTGACATTCTTTCACTCATCTCATTTCTTCTGTCTAGTGTGGGGTCTTCATATGAAATTGGAAAGCTCAGAGGTCACAAAAAGTGGGATACGGGGTGCAGCTCCGTCTATTAACATCATCACTAGTAGTAGGGTAGCACGCAGTGGAAACGAGGTGCTATATGCACAGAGGAAAAGCCAATGTAAACCCTTTGGGAAAGGCAGACAGAGTCAAAACAGAAAAGACAGACAACCAAAACAAGACCAACGGGGGGAGGGGGGAGACAACATTTTCTTCAACCCGAAATGGAATTTAGTTTTTGAGTTTTTCTTAAATATTTTTAAAATAAAATCAAAAGTCATTTTGAGTTGAAAAAATCTCCCCCACCCCCTCCCAAAAAATGTTGAAATGAAATGGCAAATTCAATAAGACCCAAATCTACATTCTTCAGTTAAAAAAGCTGACTGAAAAATTTCATCCAACCATAGTCCGGACACTAGTGCCTGGCTACCGACCCCCTACAGAATGAGCTCTTCAAAAGCATGGTTCCTGCATTTGAGTTTCATCCTATAAAAGTTCCCTAAGGTTTTTTTCCTGGAGAATTTGCTTTGAGTGCTGAATTCTGAACCGTGCCATGGATGACAGCATAACTCTACATTGAATGTCAACGTGCAGATCACTATAGAAGAGGAGCAAAGATGAATTTCTTGACATTACGACCAGTCTACACAGTCTGCAAATGAATGAGCGTGCCCTTTATATAATAAAGAAGAGAAAGAGAGAGAGAGAGAGAGAGAAAGAAGAGCTATGCAATCATTAGCTCCACTGGCAACCAGCCCAAAGCTGTCACTTGGCAAGCCGCAGAGGGGGTATTTGCAGTCCTTCGTTAGCGCACTTCCTTAATGCATCTCTTGGCTCTGCCACATCTGAATATTAACTCCAGTACAGGGAGGTCTGTAGCTCAAACTCAGAAACAAATCTGAATGAGTTTTGGATCGGAGACATGCCAGGCACATACCACAGCTGTTCAGCTCAGCAAAAAACAAGAACAACTCACCCCAGGGAAATGAAAGCTGCCTAGATGAGAAAGCTTCACAAGGGTTCCACAAACGGGGGAAATCGTGAATGAGCAAGGCAGACAATGGCAATCAGGAGGGGGTTTCGGTCCTGGAATAATCTGCTTAATGAGTCATTTTAACCATCGTTTATTTTGAATTGTTTCTACAACCGTTACTGATTCCGTCATCCCGGATCATCCCATTCTTACCATCTCTCTGCTGATTCATCCTCTAACATGGAGGAGAGGGAATACAAAAAATTGTTTGCCTGCAACACATTCTCCTGGGCCAAATGCGAGGAGGCGCTGAGTTGGTGTGGAATTTTTGTTTAAAAAATAATATTGTTTAGAGATGGTGCCAAATTAACGAGGCGGCCCCAGAGCGTGGACGCTTCATTTGTGGGACAAAATTAAAATGTCTTCATTTCATTTGTGGGTGTTTCCCATCATTTTTGTGGTTTGTTAGTTAGTTTGTTTGCACAGTGCCTAGCTGGGCCATACCTGGGGCTTACAAGGCACTGCTGCAACATAACTCAACTGGTTTCCCTGCCCGATTCGATGTTTCCCAGATTCCTGCTCATCGAAGTCAGCGTTCAGCTCCCACAATGACACGGGGAAGTCTGCAATTTTCCTATGACTCGAAATGCAACAGTGGCAGAATTCCCCGGGACTAAGACACATTGCTTGACCTGTCCGGGATAAAATGTGAGCCATGAAACTTATCCCGGCTTGGAAGTTCAAATGCTGTGGGCACGGATGTGCTGTGTCCCTGTGGTGCAGGGGTCCAGTACAGGAGGTGGGATAAAAGGGCAAATGACACTTTCTGGAACTTCTTCTCTATGATTCCTTATTACTGAATGCACCCAGCCAGCTCACCTGCCGGTCTTCAGAGCTGAAGCCAGCCCCCCCCTGCTTACTGCAGTGGGGCCAAAGGCCTCCCTGTAAAGAGCAGAAGGGTGACACAGCAGACGGACAGAGGGACGGAGCGGTGTGTGTGGCAGACAAAACCAGGGCTGGGTGTGAACCTTTGTGTTATAGGTACGGGCTTCCCTTTGGGGACACTAGGAGGGTCATTAGAACCATTTCAATCAGAGATGCTGCACGTATGGATACTGGGTGCATAGTAGCTCACCCTGGCTTGGATGGTTTCCCTCCTGATTTTGGTTATTAAGGACTCTAAGGACTGTTTAAATAATTTTTGTTAAACCATCCCCAGGTGGGGTGTCATAAACGTTATTAAGGACTCTAAGGACTGTTTAAATCATTTTTGTTAAACCATCCCCGGGGGGGTGTCATAAAGCACGAGACAGACTCTGTGGAGTTCTCAAAGGGGTTGCAAGAGGGGGCTAGCAGGTGTGGGGCAGCTAGCCTCAAGGTGTAAAATGATGTAAATATGGGGTGAGGAAATACTCTGATTTTATAGGGACAGTCTCACTAGCCCAGTGTTTGTCTTATAGATGCATCCACAGGCACCCACTTCCTATCCTGATTTTTCACACTTGCTCTCTGGTCGCCCTATGTAAACAGTCTTCAATAGTACAAGTGAAGGGATCCCCCAACTTATGTGATGGGAAGGGAACTTTACAGTTACAAGAGGGGACGCCCCTAGATCAGAAGGCCATGGGAAAGGTATGGTGATTTTGGCCTTGTCTAGACTACCTCAGGCCATCGATTACATTATGCAGCTTCAGTGGCATGAACAATGTAGCAGAAGGTGACATACTTAAGTCTGCTTGCGACGGTATCTTCACCTCAGTAAGTCGACAGCCGATGTTCTGCCGTCACCTTCTCCTACTCGTCTTTTGGTGGAGTACTGGAGTTGACGGGACAGTGCTCTGTGGTTAATTTAGTGAGTCTGTCCTAGACATGCTAAATCAACCCTCTGCTGGATTGACTGCTGCCCCTCTGTCCAGTCCGCAGAGAAGACCTGCCCTCAGTGATTTACAAAATAGCTCTTGGATTAGACGAACAGATGGAGTGAACCCAAAAGCTAACCCCACATGCATCTGTTCTTCTGAGTCAAAAACACCACGTGCACGTTGTGTATGATTCTAACACTATGCAGTGCTTTGAGAAGTCTGTTCCTCTCCATCACATTTGTTCTCTACTGTGTTAGTTATATGTATTCACCAGTATTTCTATGCAATGCCCATGGCAGTATTTAGGGATAATGACAATTTTCAAATGCCTGCTCTACTGAAACTCCATGCCCCTTTATCCTACCTACTGTACTGGACCCCTGCAGCACAGGGACACAGCATAGCCATGCCCAGAGGGGTTTCCTCTCCAGACCTAAATGGAGGAATTTGTCAAAGGAAGTAGCCCAGTCAGGGATTGAATCTTGCTCTGGATCTCAGCAGAGCCAGCTGCTTCTCACAAGCATGTGGTCTGGCCTGCTCCGGGGCCAGCTGCTACTGCAGTGAGGGGGTCCCATAAGCCGCTTAGAGAGCGACCTGCTTATTCCAGTTCAGGTGGCGTCTGCTGAGATACCAAGGTCTCCATGGCAAACGCTCAAGCTGCCTGCGTTTGCCTCTCCTTCCAGGGCAGCGACAGTCTCACACAACAGGGCAGCTCTATCCCAACGGGGCAAACCCATGTATGCAGGGACCAGAGATTCACAGGCTAAAGGAGCTTAAACCCTTGGGAAAGAACCACCACCAGGGATTAAGCCGCTCCCAGGCCTAGAGACAAGACCCAGTTCTTCAATTTCGACAGGTATTGCACATACGCAATCCCTGTGCATGTACCCAACTTGCACCCACAAATACAGGGAACCCTGGGGACCCTGCAAGCTGAGAAGGGAGAAAGGGAGCAACTATTTGTTTTCATTTCAACTCTTAAACTGTTTCCTCACTGTGGCGACAGGGGCTGTGTAAGCAGAGAATGTTTCTGGAGTGGGCAGCTGTGGCTAGAATTAATAGCGTGGAAATTCCCAAATGAACACTGTCTACCCAAAGGGTCCAGTGCCTTATTGAGGGTAGTAATGCAGTCTCCCTGCTATGGCTCATGGGAAGGACCCTACCATAGTCACAGTCCATTATGGTCAATTTCATGGTGACAGGATTTTTAAAATGGTAAATTTCATGAGTTCAGCTATTTAAAATCTGAAATGTCGCGGTGGTATAATCGTAGGGGTCCTGACCCAAAAAGGAGTTGTGTGGGGGTGGCGACTCTGCTACCCTTGCTTCTGCACAGCTTGTGGCAGCAGTGCTGCCTCCAGAGGTGGGCAGCTGAAGAGCAGCAGCTGCTGGCCAGGAATCGAGCTCTGAAGGCAGAGCTATGGCCAGCAGCAGCGCAGGTATGGTGTTGCCACCCTTACTTCTGCGCTGCTGCCTGAAAAGCTGGGTCTGTTGTCAGCAGCCACCACTCTCTGGCCCCCCAGCTCTGAGAGCAGAAGGGCGACGTAGGTACGGTATTTCAACCCTTACTTCTGCGCTGCTGCTGGCAAGGTGCTGCCTTCAGAGCTGGGCACCTGGCCCACATTACAAGCACCGCTCTCCAGCTGCCCAGCTCTGAAGGCAGGATGGAAGTCAGAATGACAATGAGACCCACACACTCCAGATAACCTTGTGAGCCCTCTGCAACTCCGTTTTCAGTCAGGACCCCCAGTTTGAGAAACCCTGTCTCCCCCATAATAGCTGCCTAGTATAGGGTAAAAGAACCCAAAGCCAGATTTCATAGTGCATGACATTTTGCAGTGTTGTGATTCTGGTAGGGTCCTACCCGTGGGGGCTGAAGTGATAAAGACGGGTCTACATAGATTGTTCTCTGAAGGGATTTTGAAAAGCTGGGTTCTATTTTAACTGTTAATTGATCCCCAGCTGGTGAAATCTCATTTTCCTGTCTCTGGCAGTCTCAGCTTGAGTCATCTTGTTGCTTGTGCAATGAGAGAGGGATCACTGGGTGCACGTCTCAATGCTGGAAAGAGACGGC